GTGCAGCTTTTAAAAAAATTTTCATAGGACTCCCTTCCACATTTCCTTTCAAGGAGCAAGATCTGTCCCTTTGGGGATGTAGCTGTCTAATAAATCTATCTTTTTTCCTATTTTATCCTAAAAATAAAATAAAAAACAGCAAACCTGCATGACTCTACTCACTCGCCACACTCTGTCCTGACTCTGTGAAATCCATTTTAAAAGCCAAAAAACCTCAGTGTTCTGCCCATCATTTCATTCTTTCATTGATCCTGACTTTTTAAAAAGTATTGAGTTAAACAAAGAAATATTTTCTAAAAATTAACAAGAAGGAAACTAAAGATCAGAGAAGAGTTTATGGTACTATCAATCTACACACACCATGGTCTCACCTTCCATGAGATCAGATCTAGATGGTCTCCTACAACTACTGCTGCTCAAAAGCACATGGATAAATCCTGAGAGAATGGGGCAAATGTGAAACAGAACTCAAATTCTTAAAAAGTCCAGGCTTAGTGGGTTGCTGCAGACTAGAGGATTCCTGAGATTAACACCCTGAGATAGTCTTTAAACCTAGATGGAAATTATCTCGAGTTCACCTGTTAATCAAGTAACAGATTGACCCATAAAAGAATGACTGTTACTCATAAGTAATGAACTGCTCTAAAATATAATTTGTATTAGATCAAATGGTAAAAAATTAAAGCAAAAATGTAAAAAAGGTAAGAGGGCAATGAAACTAAGGTCCTAGAAACCAGATAGGCAGAAGGGATGGGAAATGAGCACACATTGTAAACAAATGGAACCAGTATCAGTGAATAATAGAAATTGTATAGAAATTGTTAAATGGGAACATAATTTGCTGTGTCAGTCGGCTTGTTTCAGTTTAAACATAAAATACTATTTTAAAAGATATGGTCTACCTTGATATTAGAGTGCCTCCCACTCCTGCTTCCCAATTTTGTGTGTTCTGAGTAGCTCACTTAAAGCAACACTTTAAATATTGAGCTTTTTAAAACTGAATGTTATCTAGTAAAGCAGCCACTAGCCATATGTGATTATTCAGGAATTTTGTTTTTAATTTATATTTATTTGTTCAAATTTATAATCAATTTGGTTGTTAGATAACTTTATAATGTTTGGGGGGAAATTAGGCATATAAGTCTACTTTTTTAGTTGCATATTTTACGAAGTCTAAATAGAGATCAAGAGAGGGTGAAACCAAGTTTCTCCTAGGAGGCAAGGATTTTGAAGCTCAGTCTCACAGACTTTAGACATGTGGTCAGGAGGGACCAGACCTCACAGGAGAGGAAGACCCAGGATGAAGTGGATTGAGACAATAACTGGGGTGATGAGGGAAGGTGGTGTGTCGGAGTCAGTGAGACAGGCTCAGGATAAGGCAGGGTGTAAAGCTGTTGTACATAGAATCCCTATGAGTCGCAGGTGACTTGATGGCATAGCAACACCACCACAATTTCAGATGTGCTGTATCTTTTGTTCTACATTTCCGAGAATAATGAATTAAATCATTACTTGTATACTGAAGGGAGTGAAAATGTAAATAATTGGTGCAAAATCTGATTTAGCACCCCAAATTTGAGGCTTTGCTTCTGTAGTAAATAGTATAATGTTCCATGTTGTTGTTGCTGTTGTTATGTGCTGTCGAGTTGCCTGCAACTCATAGCTATCTTATGTACAACAGCCCTAAACCCTACTCTATTCTGTACCAATCTAATTGTCTCTGACACACCTACCCCCCTTACTCTAGTCACTGAATCAATCCATCTTATCGAGAGTCTTTCCCTCCTGTGCTGTCCCTCCACCCTCCCAAGCATGGTGTCCCTCTCCAAGGGCTGGTCCCTCCTTGCAACATGTCCAAAGTATGTCAGATGATGTTTCATAATCCTTGCTTCCGAGGAGCAGCCTGGTTTAATTCTCTGAAGGACAAACCTGTTCATTCTTTTAGCAGACCACAGTATATTCAACACTCTTCTCCAACACCACAGCTCAAAGGCAGCAATTCTCCTTCTATCATGCCTAGTCATTGTCCAGCTCTCTGCTGCATAGCAAGTGATTGCAAAGACCATGTCTTATATCAGGTGCACCTTGGTCTCCAGAATGACATCATTGTTCTTCAGGACTGTGGAGAGATCTCTGACAGCAGACTTTCCCAATGCAATGTGTCTTTTAATTTCTTGGCTGCTGGTGCCAAGAGTGTTGATTATGGAGCCAAGCGAACTAAAGCTGCAATGTAATGTAATGTAATGCAATGTTCCACCTACCCCTAAAAAAATCTGTCCTAATTCCTGATACCTGTGAACATATTACTTCACATATGGCAAGAGACTATGTGCAGATGTAATTAAGGATTTTGAAATGGGGAGATTATTTTGGATTATCCTGCTAGGCCAACTATTAAAACAAAAAGCCACCTTAAACCTTCCTCTCTCAAGTCCATTCATGGTGACTCTCCATTGGGATTCCAAGGCTGTAAGTTCTTAAAGGAAGAGATTGTCCATCTTTCTCCTATGGGATCGTGAGTGATTTCGAACTGCTGATCTTTTTGGTTAGCAGCCCAACACATAATTCACTATTCTACCACGGCTTCTTAATATAATCCTAAAGGTCTTTAAAAGATGGTGCAACCACTGTGGAAGGCAGTATGGCACTTTCTTAAAAAGTTGCAAATAGAGATACCAGTTGACCCAGCGATTCCACTACTAGGAATATGCCCTAAAGAGACCATAACTGACATCCAAGCAGATATATGCACACCTATGTTTATTGCGGCTTTGTTCATAATAGCAAAGAGTTGGAAACAACCTAAGTGCCCATCAACAAATGAATGGATATAAAAGCTGTGGTATATTCACACAATGAAATACTATGCTACATTGAAAAACAAGGAACTCATGCAATATTATTCAAAATGGGTGACCCTGGAGGATATTATGCTGAGTGAAGTGTCTCAGTCCCAAAAGGACAAATACTGCATGGTGCCACTGTTGTAAAACAGGACTGACCTCGGGGCTTGGGGGAGACTGAGAAAGATGGGTTCAATAATATATACTGCATTGAAACAGATGAGGGAGAAAACTGTTTAAAAGGGATATGTGATTAGGTATTTTTTTCATGACATGAGTCCAGTGTGAAGGTTACATAGTGAACTGGACCTGGGGCAAGAGTTTGTAAAACAATGAAAGAATTTTTGTTTTACTTTTCCAAGAGGGTAGTGTACTGGCGGGGAGGGTTTGGAGGGGAGAAAAGTACAACAATGAATGAATGGAAATCCAAAGTATCTTTAAATTTTCATTGACATTAATAATAGATTTTTTTAAAAAAGTCTTTAAAAGATGGAGGTAGAAAGTAAGAGGGGGAGAAAATCATGTGACAAAAGAGACAAAGATGCTTCTCTGCTGGCTTTGAAGTTGGAAGAAGTGGTTATGAGCAAGGAAGTACAGGTAACTCCTGGAATCTGAACAAGGGAAAGAAACACTGGAAGATTGAATTAATCCTGGGCCAAAATAATACCAGACAATGAATATCCCATGAACTCCCCCCCCCAAAAAAAAAATCCAAACGAATTCTGTCTTAGAAGAAGTGCAGCGAGGATGCCCCTTGGAAGCAATGATGTTGAAACGTCCACTCTCACATATGTGCATGTCGTCAGGAGGGGCCGGTTCTTGGGATAAGACATTGTTCTGGGAAAGGTGGAAAGTCAGAAAGGGAAGAAGTTCCTCAAGGAGCTGGACGGACACAGTAGCTAGAGGAGTGGGCTCAGGCATGGTAAGAATGAGGATGGCACAGGATAGAGCAAGGCTCTGCTCTGCTCTTCAGAGTTGCTGTGCGTGACAGCATCCAACAAGAGCTGGGAAGGCCTCTCGAGCACAGCTCCGCTCACGCCTTGATTTTAGCCCCGTCAAGCCCATTTGAGACAGCTCAACTCAAGAATGAAAAGAGGGTCAATTAGGGATATTTTAAGATATGAAGTTTGTGGTAGTTTCTTAGAGTCACAAGAAACGAACAGCTTCTCTTCAAGAAGAAACTCCATCTCCTTGAGGAACTTCTTCCCTTTCTGACGTTCCACCTTTTCCTTTAAAAAGTATGCTTGGGGGTGTCACGTCCGAGGTGCTTAGCCACAGCTGGATGTCCTGTCCAGCTTCAGTGGCCAGTAAGAAAAAAACATGAGGAGCCGAGAGAAGCTTAGCCATCACTTTATTGCAGTTTACACAGGCAAGAATAAAAATGAGAATCTTCCTACAAAATGACTATAGTACGGAGAACACAGACGGCATCTTGCCACACTTATGCAGCAGTCATTAACCTTATCACACTATGCACCTGCACGCTTACTCTTAGCTTTACATGATATTGCTTCAGAAAAACAGTACTGGGTTTGCTTAAACATGGCAGTGGTTTAGCCCATAGCCATCTGACAGGTGCACACAGCACATTACGGTACTCAAATCTTCTTCTTGGATATATGCAGTGCATTATGGTAGCCCACACAGGAACACTGCTTTTCTAATAAAATGTGATTTTCATAGTCCTAGCTGTCTATGTATAGGGCCTGTCAGATCATGTAACATCCTTTCCTGACTTTTCTCCCCAACATTTTAGTATATATAAATCCAGTCTTTCATCTGAAACACTGTTATTTTAACAAGCAGCTGTTTTGATCATATAACAGTTGCACAGAAAAGCCGCACAGATTTCATCCACATGTTTTTGCTTCACTATTTTTCAGAATAAAACTAACAGAATTAAAATATCATTACAGAGAATTACATAGTATGTTTCGGAATACAGCAAGCAGGAAAGATAGTGAGTACATGTTGTTGTTGTTAAGTGCTGTCGAGTTAGAGACGACTCATAGGGACTCTATGACTGAAACACCTGAAGTTAGAGACGACTCATAGGGACTCTATGACTGAAACACCTGAACGCTTGTATCATTTCATTGTTTCATTATTATCAGCAAAAGATAAAATGGAGTGTGGAAATGACAGATATTTTAGTGCCTAGAGACCAGGTCTCTCAGAGTCCTCCAAGTCAGTATCCAGCTTTAGTGCCTCCTCATAGTACTCCAGAGCTTTATGCATTTCTCCTTTCAGTTTGCAGATAAACCCTAGGAGGCTCAAATTTTCCTTATCTAATGCATTTCTTTGAAATCTCCTGAAAGCCAATTTCTCCAAAGATTGGATACTTTTGTCCCTTACTTCTGATGGTTTTTCTACCTTTGCTGCTTCTAAATAGTGGGCAATTGCTCCAATTTCAGATTTCTTTTGAAATTCCTGAAATCTTCCATAGCTAAAATGTACCTTTTGCTTCTTGAGATCTTCCAGTGGTTTGATGCTTAACACCTTCTGATAAGTTTCTTCAGCTTTGTGGATCTGGTCTGCCGCTACATACATAGTTGCCAGGTGTATATAAGCAATATCAAATGTGGGCTTCTGTTTCACAGCATACTCGAAATGAGATATGGCTAATTGTATTCTCTTGTCAGTTTCTTTATCCTGCCATCTTGTTCGCCCATATTTAGCATCAAACACTTGGGCCCTGTAGCAAAGCCCTATCTGGTGATGCAGGAAGGCAGATGTAGGTGCTGACTGTAAGGCCATTTTTAAGAGCTGGATAGCTTTCTCCAGAAAGCCCTTTTTTCGGTAAAACCTGGATGCCTGGCGGAAGACATAGGTCTGGGAGGACTTGCTTCTCAGTGCTTCTTCAATGTATTGTTCTCCTTCAGCTTCTTGCCCCACATCCTGAAGCTTCAGGGCCAGGAGCACTTTAATATAGACATCTTCTGGATTTAGCCTCACAGCCTTCCTTAGAGCAGGCAGAGAAAAATCATTTTCCCTTGTTTCTGAGGCAAAGGAATCCAGGCGAAAGAGAGTGATTGCATACCCAATGCAGAATTCAGGGTTTTCGGGCTCCACTTCTAGTGCCTTTTCAAAGCATATTCTGGCCCGTTCATAAGTAACCTGTGCTCCACACTTCAGCAAGGCCCATCCTTCCTCACAGTCCATCTCAGGACACTCCACTCTGTAGCAGGGGGCTCTTACAAACTTCTTGCAGGTGTTTGCTATCTTGTCCAGGTAAGCCTGGCTTTCCGCCATTCTTCCCATGTGGTAGTACACCCAGGCATAGTTGCCCCAGGTAACCAGACTTCGCAAATCAGATTGGTCCGCGTGTTCTTGCTGGGTTAACTCTTCAGCCCTTTTCAAGCTCTCCAGGGAGTCCTCATTCTGGCCCTGCAGGTGTTTCACATAGGCCATTAGGTTGTGTATTCCTGCCCTGTAGTTGGTGTCTAGGAACTCAATTTCCTCCAGGATCCTGCTTTCTAAGTCAGGTATTTCAATGTCCATAATGGGCAATGACCATGTAAAGTGGCACCTCAACTGCTTCAGCCTCTCTTCGAGCCGGTGCTCCTCAGCTTTCTCACTATGAAAACAAAAGCAGATTTTCTTGGTTAGGTTAACAGCTCATAGACCAAAACTACATAAAATTGTTCACATTCTAATCCCTTAGGTGGAACACAACTGCTTCAGCATACTTTACCTACAGTTATGAACTTGGTCCCAATTAATAGCAACCCTCCATTGTGTTTCTGAAGCTATAAATCTTTACAAAAAGAGATTGCCTATTTTGTTGTTTATTGTTGGTGGTGGTGGATTCAAACTGCCAACCTTTCAGTTAGCAGCCCTGTACATTACACACTATGCCAACATGCCTCCTTTCAGTATTTGAGTTCTTGTACTTCTAAGATCTGCATGTGCTTTGCTGTCTGCTTAATTTCATATATTGGCTCCAGCACTTGGTAGGTAAATACCTCTGTGCATCAGAGATACATCTGTGTTACATGATGCATTTTATGACATGTGTAATAAAACCACCACCTCAATGAAGATGCAGAACTATTCCATCACCATAAACTTCTCCCTCTGGGTATCTCTTTATAGTCACAATCATTACTCCTTTTCTTCAGGCCCTGGTAACACTAATTTGCTCATCTGTAAGATTTTGTCATTTTGAGAATATAAATAGAATTATAGAAAATACGAGTTCTTGAGATTTTTTCATTCATTATAATGTCCATCCAAATTGTTGAGTTTATGAATTGTTCATTCCTATTACTTAGGAATAGTACTGAGAGCTCTGGTGGCCTAGCTGTGTTGCAATCCCAAAGGTATGTGATTCTAATCCACCATCTGCTCCGTGGGAGAAGGATGAACAAATAAAATATTATGGATAGTTGTGGTGGTGTGCTCTCAGGTCAGAACCAACTTATAGCTGACCCTCCAGTGGGTTTCCAGAGTCAGAAAATCACACAGGAGGAGAGACTGCCCATCCTTCTCCCTCAGAGCGGCTGATGGATTTGAACTGAATATCTTTGGGATTGCAGTACAGCTTCTCATCGCTAGACCACCAGAGCTCCTTAGTGGAGATGGAGACTGATATACCACTACTTGACCATTCACCTGCTGTAGAGCATTTTGGTTGTTTCCTGTTTGAGTCTATTATAAATAAAGTGAATATGAATAATTGTATATGGGTTTTTATGTGGACATTGTGCTCACTTAAGTGTCCAGGAGTGAGATTAGTAGATTGTGTGTTAAGTGTGACACAAATGGTTTTCCATGAACCACTAACCACAAGGTTGGCTATTTGAATTGCCCAGCAGTGCCCGGGATGAAAGGATTGATAAGCTGCTTTTGTAAGGATTCTATCCAAGAAAAAACCCTGCAGAGCTCAGCTTTACTCCAGGACACATGGGGTCATCCAGTGTTGAAAGTGATAACAACAGGTTTGTCTTGGTTCTTCCATTGAGGGTATTTTTTTCCATTTTAAAAAATTAATTTTATTGAAAGTTTACAGAGACTTAGGGTTTCCAGTCATTCATTTTTACACTTTTCTCCCTGCTCACTCCCTACCCCCCATTCACTCTTCTCTTTGAAAAAGAAAAGAAAGTCCACTCCACTGTACTGCCTTCATTCCGGACTCCTGTAATGACAATAACAGCCAATCATATATCCCTTTTAAACAGTTCTCTCCCTCATCTGTTTCAATGCAGTACACATCATTCCTCTCCTCCTTCTCTGTCTTCCCTCAACCCTGATGTCAGTGGCCCTATTCAATATTTGTCCTTTTGTGACTGAGGTATGTGAGGGTATTTTTTTTAAAGACATGGCCAAACTGTTTTCCAGAATGGCAATATTTTACAATCGCACTAGTAATGTGTGAGTGGTGCAATTTTTCTTTATCTTTACCCACCTGGAGAAGGTGGTGTGCTTCTAATTCATTACTGCCAAATGGGAACACTTGGGAGGGGAAGTGCTCCTCATTAATGCTAGGTCCCCAGGGGCTGGGAGTTTAGCATGCCTGATGGGCTTTGGTTGACACCGTCCTGACTGGAAGGGCCACGTGTGTCTTCCTGCACCTCCCTCTGTGACCTCTACTGACTGGGATTGGTCAGGGAGCCTCCTTATAAAAAAATATCCATTCTCACATGGGCTGCTTAGCACTTAGCAGGGAGGATGCATCTTAGTACTGCCTGTAAGAGGTGATGTCCAGTTCCCTGGGTGGTCACCTGTGAGGTGGCATTAAAGGAGCTCTACATAACTAACTGTCAGGGCAGAAAGTCCTGGCTCCCGACACCAGCCTGTGTGGCAGGAAGGAAGAGCTGGGATGTCTCCTGACAGATTGACAAAGGTGGAAATCTAAGCCCTCCACTTAAACGTTGTTGGGATTCAGATTTTGCTACTGTGGCATCTGGAAAGAGTACACTGGACATTGTTTAAAAGTTTTCCATCTGGAGATTCTGCTCCTTTTCTGATCCTTTCACTGGAAAGAAGTGGCTTTCTGGGGGACTTTTCTATTCATGCTTCATAGCTGCCAACTTCTCCAGCTACCAACCTCAAATATATGAGGCAAAAAGGAAATCCATGATCCTATGATCCCTAGTTTACCAGCTGGTCTGCCTTTCCTCTTCTACTATTCAGAATCTTCTTATGTTTGTCACATATTGAATGAACAAGGCGGTTTAGCTGTACTTAGTAGAAGGGATAGAGGAGAAGGTATTTACTCCCTTTTTCTGGCCATGGGAGTCTTTTTCCAAGTATTAATGTGATTCAGACCATTATTGTCAGTAAGATGCGTAACGATAAACAGGAATAGGAACCCCGCCTGAAGGAGTGTGTGTCTGTGTGTGCATGTATGTATATGCATAAGGTAGTGTAGGGGAAAATGCTCTCTTTTTCTTGTATTCCAAACTTGGTTTGTAGGTGAGGTACTTCGTTTTGTTACCTTACAGGGAGAACACTTACTATTTCTCACTCCCGATACTGACCTGCAAAATGCAAAGTCAGGCTTCACTCAGGTTTCAAATTATAGGTAGAGAGAGACATTGAACAACAGTGGCTTTCCTTGAGTAAAGCCACTATTTTCTCTGTTATATTAGTCATTAGATAACATAATAACAACTAGGGGAGGTAGAAGGCGCCCGGGTGCCATAGTCTACAGCCAGTTGCTACAGCATGCTGCACTGCTCACCCAAAGAGGGCGCCATCGGATGGTTCAAATCTACCTGCAGCTCTGAGAGAGAAGTTTCCCATGTGGTTTACAGCTCAGAAACCCAACAGCCAACTGTGAATTGGTTCTAACAATGAAAATGAGTTGAAGGGAAAGACGAAGGGAGTAAGAGGGGAAAGATAATCTCAACCAGTTTCTACACCATCTCTGACCCTAACTACATCGCTGTTGTTGTTGTTTGTTGTTATGTGCCATCGAGTTGCCTGCAACTCATAGCGACCCTTTGTACAACAGCCCTAAACCCTGCTCTATCCTGTGCCAATCTAATTGTCTCTGACACACTCACTTCCATTACTCAAGTCACTGCATCAATCCACCTCATAAAGGGTCTTCCTCTCCTGCGCTGTCCCTCCACCCTCCCAAGGATGATGTCCTTCTCCAAGGTCTGGTCCCTCCTTGCAACATGTCCAAAGTATGTCAGATAAAGCGTCAGAATCCTTGGCTCCAAGGAGAAGCCTGATTTAACCCTCTCCAGGATGAACCTGTTCGTTTTCTTAACAGTCCATGGTATATTCAACACTCTTCCCCAGCTCAAGGGCAACAATTCTCCTATCTTCCCTAGCCACTGTCCAACTCTTTGATGCACAACAAGTGATTGAAAAGACCATAGCCTGTATCAGGAGCACCTTAGTCTCCAGAGTGACATCATTGCTCTCCAGTACTTTGGAGAGGCGCCTAATAGCAGACTTTCCCATTGCAATATGTCTTTTAATTTCCTGGCTGCTGGTGCCAAGAGTGTTGAGTGTGGAGCCAAGCAAACTAAAGCTGTTAACAATCTCAATCTCTTCATTATTCATCCTGATGCTACCAACTGGTCCAGTGGTGAGAATCTTTGTCTTCTTGATAGGGAACGTCAATCCATATTGAAGGCTGCAGTCCTTGACCTTCTATAGCAAGTGCTTCAGGTCCTCCTCAGTTTCGCAAACAGGTTGTTTCATCTACATAATGCAGATTGTTGATGAATCTTCCACCAATACTGATGCCACATTTCTCCTCATGGAGCCCAGTCTCCCGGATAATCTGTTCTGCATATAAATTGAAAAAAGTATGGAGATAGGACATATCCCTGGCCTATGCCCTTCCCAATTTTGAACCATGCAGTATTTTCTTGCTCTGTTCTGACGACTGCCTCCTGGTCCAAGTATAGGTTTCGCAAACAAAATAAAACAAGAGTATCAGATGACGATCTTGGAGATTACAGGTTTATGACTATGTAACATTTTAAAAACTTATTTATGGCAAAGGTACACTAAATAAATTAAATTTTAAAAAATAGTAAGACTATGGGAGATATAGATGTTGAAAGTTCTCCTAATATATGAAGTGGTTTTGCAAATTGGCAATAAAAACTTCAACAAATAGAAATCAGTATGAATATGCGAGAGCAAGTATATAAACAGCTGATAAAACAAGAAATTCCACCCCCGCCCCTAATTGCCTGTTCTTAAGCCAATTCCATTTATTTGAGACCCTGTATCGGAAGAGTGGCCTAGTGATAAGAAATTGTACTACAATTCTGAAGGCATGAGGTTCAAATCCACCAGCTGCTCCATAGGAATGGGTAATCTCCTCCCGTGCAATTAACTGCCTCTGAAAACCCAATGGAGGGTCAATTATGGGTCAGTTCTGACATGATGGTATTAAATAACAACAACAACAACAATAAGAGGAAGAGTAGAATTGCTTTAGAATTTCCAAGCTTGTGATTTTTACAATAAGCAGACTACAAGCCTTTCTCCTGTGTAGGGGCTCACACCACTAAACTTTCAGTTTGCAGCTAAGACCTTATCCCCTGCCCTTGCAAAGGGTTCAGCCTTGGACAGGCTACAGGGCAGCTTTGTTCTGTTCTGTATGGTCACTGTAGGTGACACTGATGGTGGTCTTCTGTATGCAAGGAGGCAGCCACACCTTTCTCCTTCAGTGCAGCTGGTTGGTTTGAACTACAGCCTTTTTGTAGCAGTCCAGTACTTAACCACAGCACCGCTAAGGACAATTAAATGGCCAGCAGCCATGAGAAACAATTCCCTTAGTCCTCTGGCCATGAGAGAAATGCAAATTAAAGTAACAGCAATTTCTAGCTTTATTGTAGCCAGATTGGCACAAGTTTGAGTGACAGTATCAATGACTACAATCATCAATTGTTAGGGACTTTCTTTGGATGAACATTTTCTTGTGATTTAGGTGAAAATTTAGAGAATAAACTAATTTTAATTAAATTAATTGTTTCATGATGACTGCAATTCCTGCAATATTTCATCACTTTCTCCTTAGCTTCTTGTCTCCCATTTGTCTGGTTTTCTTGCCTCTTTCATGCCATGTCATCTGTACTTTGGGGTAAGTGTCAGCCCTTTGACCATGTAGACCTGGTTATTTTCAGAAGCACAGCCTTAATGGCTACTTTTTTTTTTTTTTGTAAAATTTGTATTTAGAATTAGCCAGCTGGACTCAGTTTGGATGATCCCAATTTTGTTGGCAACATCCAAAGAATCATAGTCAGGAGCAAGTTGAACATAGGCCTTCTTCTCTTCATCAGGCCTAACCAAAGTGTTGACCTTAGCCACATCAATGTCATAGAGCTTCTTTACAGCTTGTTTAATTTGGTGCTTGTTGGCCTTGACATCCACAATGAACACAAGTTGTTATCTTCTGTCTTCTTCATGGCTGACTCAGTGGTCGGGGGAAATTTGATGATGGCATAGTGGTCAAGTTTATTTCTCCTAGGGGCGCTCTTCTGGGGGTATTTGGGCTGCCTTCGGAGTCTCAGCGTCTTAGGCCGCTGGAAGGTGGGTCATGTGCATATTTCTTTTTTTTTTTTTTGGCTGTGGATGCCCTTCAGGACTGCCTTCTTGACCTTTAACGCCTTTGCTTTGGCTTCAGTTTTGGGAGGGGCAGAGGCTTCCTTTGCTTTTGGTGCCATCTTCATAGAAAGGCAGCCTTCATGGCTATTAATTGTTTGACTTACATTGTTATTGGCCATCAAGTTGGAACGACTCACAGCTGACACTCTACTGCATTTTCACAGGCTGCAAATTGCATGGGAGAAGATTATGTATTTTTTCTCTTGTGAAACAGCTGTGGTTTCCTGCCTTTGGGTTGGCAGCATAACTCTTCATCCCCTAAACCACCAACACTAATGTTTTGTTTATAGACTTATATAATATTTGGCCCAAAGGTGAACTCAGGGAGTGGCTCTCATTTTAAGTTAGATGGAACATTGTCTTGAGATTCCTATAGTTTCTGTCAGATCAGTATGACCTTTTTATGTGTGTTTGAATCTTTGTTCTACATTTATCTTCCACTCTATTTTGAACTCTGTGTGCTATGATATGGGTCATTACAATAAGAAGTCTGTGTTTCCATGGACAAAGGAATTCCATCCCTAGGAAACTTACCTTGCACATGATACACAAATGTGTATGTTCAAGGATATTCACTGTGGTGTGGCTGTCTCTATGAACAGTGGCCCCTTTCCCAGGAGAAAAACTGGATGGTGCCTGGTTACCATTACTGAACACTTTAAACAAAGATTTCATAGAGCATTATTGATCAAAAGAGGGGAAATGCAAGAGAGAGTTTCAAATTCTTACAGACTCTAGACTTTCTGGAGTCATGGAGGGTAGATAAACCCAGGAACTATTATTCTATGACAATCTCTAAACCCTAAACCAAAAATATCCCCTGGCATCTTTTAAAACTGAACAGTAGTTTAGCTTAACTAGCTAAAAGAGTCTGCTTTGAGTCTTGTGCTTTTAAAAGAACTGCCTATATGATATAAAAGTGATAACAGCAACTGAAAGATTTGACAGAAACCCTAGGGCCAGCTGTGGTTTGGTTGTTTTGTACCATGGAGTCAGAACTGACTCCTACCTGACCCTCCAGTAGATTTTCAGAGGCAGTAAACTACATGGGAGAAGACTGCCTGTCTACTCCAGCAGAGCAGCTGGTGGATTTGAGTTGTGTTGCACTTGGTTGCAGGACAGCTTATCACTAAGTTACCGCAGTGAGTTTATATTCATGAGTGGAGGATGGGTAGGAACAACTCAGAAAAGGAGGGTGAGAATCTATGTCAATTCAAGCAGACTGTTGAACTAGTATGTGTTTTGCTGTGTGTATTCTTAATCACAACAAAAAAGAAGAAATAGAGACAAGAGCTACAAAGTCACATGAAGAATGTCTAGAAGTCTTTTAAAGAGACAAGGATCCGACCCCAGAACCAACAGAGAAAGAAAGCCTTCCTCTGGAGCTGAAGCCCTGAATATAGAGTCTTAGCCTCCAAAAGTATGAGAAAATAAATTTAAGATTATTACAATAAAAAATATAGAATGCAGTCTTTTACATATTACAAACAAATTGAAGCTACCAGTGGGGAATGCAAATAAATCACAGTGTATTTATACCATGGAATATTAGATAGTTATATTATATGTATTAGATGGAAAAAACCCCAAACTATCAGTTGAGTCTGAGAATTTAAAAACATATTATCCAATTAAGGTGCACATTATCTATAGAAAAGGGTTGAAACATAATGCAATTTGTACTATATGAAGGCCCAAACCAATATATGTATATTTGTGTGTGTGTGTGTGTGTGTGTGTGTGTGTGTGTGTGTGTGGTGTTATGCAATACTGAGTCACAACTGACTCATAGCTGACCTTCCAGCAGGTTTTCAGAGGCTGTAAACTGTACAGGAGGAGATTGCCCATCTTTCTTCCATGCAACTACTGATAGACTCATACATGCGTGAAGATGAAACAATGTCTATGGAGCCAAACTAGGTTATTAGCCTTGATTATTGTGGTAGCAGAGTAACAGTCCCTCCAAGATGTCCACATGCTAATTTCCAGAACAGGTGCACATACTCCACCATGTAGCAAAGATGATTTTACGATGAGATTAAGATTATGAGCCCTGAAATGAGATTGTCTTGGTGGGTCCAGTCTAATCACTTGAGTCTTTAAAAGCAGAGTTCCTTTCCAAGTTGTGGTTGTGGAGCTTCAATAATAGAAAAAGAGACAGGAGCGGTTTGGACTTGTTGCTGACTTTGAAAATGGCAGAGGACAATAAGCCAATGAATGCAAGTGGTCTGTAGAAGCTGGGAATGGCCCTCACCTGACAGCCAGCCGAGGAACGGGGTGCTCACTCCTAAAACAGCAAGGACCTGAATAAGCAAGGAAATCGCCTCTCCCCTCGAGCCTCTAGAAAAGAAGGCAGCCGTGTTTTCACTTGGGTTTTAGCCCAGTGAGCCAGGAGATCTCTGACCTATAATATTGTATTCAGCCTCTCGTTCATAGTAGTTTATTATGGCAACAGAAAACTAACACAGATACTTCAACCAGGAGAGAGGAAAAGGTTTTAACAGCGGGGAGGAATGAAGAGAAAAGAGAAGGGACCAGAACATTTTAAAAAAGTTATTCTTAGTGACAACAAAGAATTCAGCAATAAAGACTGTGATGCAAACTGGGAGTAATAAATTGTATGGATTTGTATATATCTCATTAAAAAACTAAACCAAACTCACTGCCATCAAACCTAACTCCAGCCAAGCCCCCTAAGCCAATAAGATATCAGCTTGGCTTCTCAAGAGGGAGAACTGTGTAGATGCCAGTTCAGTCAGACTAAAGAGGGGACACAGGATTCAGCAGTGCAGTAACAAGCCCTGAGCCTTCTCTCTAGCCTAGAGCTCTCAGCAAATTCCCGGAATATTTCCCAAGATTTCTTTGAGGCTCCAGGACTGCAGTTTACAGATTCCAGTGAGTCCTACATTTTCAACATGGTGTGGAACCAAAATAATGCAATGTCTCTATGGAAACTAGCTATCCTCTTCCTCTCAAGGTTAGACAGAAAGGAGCTCAGTGGAAAGGAATACTAGAGAGTGGGAACATTTACTCATTTCCTGCTAAACTTTTGCTATTTCTCTCCACGTCTTTGGGCTGTCTTATGAATGAAGCTTCTTCACGGTGACATTAACAAAAATTAAAACACTCAGATTAAGTACACACACTCCAAAAGGCAAATGCCGAAATGGAAGTTAGGACACTTGGCCTCCCTGAGACTGAGTCAGTTGAGACAGAGTATCAGTTAACATTTCACCCACTCCCCATAAAGTCTAGATAACAAGGCAGTAGAAAAATCCTTACCTCATTGTTGCTATGAATGGGACAGCACTTCTGCAGTGTTTTCTTCCACCTACTGGGCTCCTCGGAGGTTGTGGCTCTCCCGTGGAGTTTCTGACAAACTCAAGCAGTGCAGGGTTATATATATAAGGGAGAGATATAGCAGCTGATGATGCCGTCTGAAGATTTGTTGTTATAGACACAAGATGGAGAGAGAAAATGGAAAGTGAAAGTAAGATGGGAAATGAAACTTAAGTACTAAGGTCTTTCTTCCTTCTGCTTTGTGATAAAGCCTAAGCTTTCAAAACTGATGGGGTGGAAACACAGAAAGCCCTTTTCCGGATGTACTAACTCCACTGTGTGTGTGGGGGGGGCAGTAAAGACTTTGAGAGCTAGAACATGCCTGTCAGTGTTTCTCATGGGTGCATCTGGGGGCAGGGAACTGGCTGTAAACTTAAGAAAGTGGTTCCCACTATTTGAGCCCAGATTTCCTCACCTGGAAACAGGAATTATCCCTTTCATAGTATAAAAACCTATAAATATCTAAACTGGAGTCTCCTTACAATATTGAGCAAGTCCTCAACAAGAAGCCACTAGAGCTCCAAAATATCAATCACTTCATTCTTTTACAGCTTCAAATTTTCCTAGATTCATATTTCAATTATTCTGTGTTCTGAGTATGAATGGACATTTCTATCTGTTCTCATTTTGAGTGGTGTCATATTGGTAAATGAAGCCTGTTGATTTGCTGAGAATTTAACTCCATCCACATCATTAAGGTCAATTCTATTATGAGGCCATGGTTTCCTCAATTACATGTTGTTTCAGAAAGTTGGACCATGACTAAGGATGACAGAAGAAGAATACATGCCTTCGAGTTGTGGTGCTGGAGAACATACCATGGACTGCCGAGAAAATAGGTCTGTCTCGGAGAGGGTGAAACCAAGTTTGTCCTTGGAGGCTAGGATTTTGAAGCTCTGCCTCACTTACTTTGGGCTTGTGGCCAGGAGAGATCGGTCCTTGGAGAAGGACATCATGCTCGGAAGGGTGGACAGCTCAGGAGAGGGAGACCCCGGAGGAGATGGATTGATACAGTAACTGGGGCAATAGGGGTTAGTGTGCCAGAATTAGAGAGACTGGCTCAGGACAGGGAAGGGTTCAGAGTTACTATACATAGGGTCGTTATACATCACAGGTGATTCAATGGCACACAACAACAATAACAATATGACAGGTTTGGAAGCAGGAGTGACATCTGCTTCCTAAAAAACATGCCTCCAGAAACTCTATGAACTTTGATAAATGTAGATACTTGTAGAGGGGCTTCAGGCCTTTTGTTTATAGAGTTGCTATGAGTCATGCTTGACTCGAAAGCAATAAGCAACAACAATATTTTCCTTACTCATTAGAACAGAGCCAATGTGCATACTAGCCTGTGCCTTTCGAACAAAAACGTTCTGCTGCTCGCCATGTTTCCCCCTAAAGACATGGATCAATTAGAAGAGTCCACATGAAGAATTTTTGAATTAACAACATAGATTTATAAATGTACTCAGATAAATGTTCAGGCTGAAATAAATGAATCTAAACAATCTCTTGAGGCAGGGGGAAGGTTGGGGAAGGAATAAAAAGACTGGTGGGTTTGTGCAAGAAAATGGATCTGTAATTTTCCAGTGCAATAAATAGCCTGCAGAGAAACGGACAAATGGGTTCTCTTATTGCTGCTGCTGTGAATTTGGCAGTGAGCCTGGTTCTGTGGGAGCTCTGGCTCAGGCTGATAAGGTATTCAGAACCTCACCCCAATCCCTGGCAGTAAACAACGATACAAGCTACCCAGGACGGGAGAGAAGAAATAGCCACTGATGCGTGTCTTTGCTTACCAATAGGTAGAAAAATGGAAACGGGGCGGGGGAGTACTTTTAGGAAATGAAACTTTAGCACTACACTATGAATCCATTTCTAGGACTCTAAAATCTGTTTTCCAGTGACTCGCAAGGGCAATAGCCTCTTAATTTTTAGGAGTCACAGTTTCTTCAGCACATAAATAAGTGGACTGGAACATATATAGGGGTCACAATTCTCACTGCACATGAAAATTTACTGTTGTTGTTGTTGTTGTGTACAATCGAATCAGAACCACCCATAGCTGACCCTCTAGTGGGTTTTCAGAGGCATGGAAGTTTTCAAACGCATGGAAAGAGACTGCCCATCCTTCTCCCAGGGAGCAGCTGGTGGATTAAAACTCTATGCCTTCAGGGTTGTCGTGCAGCTTCTTGCAGCTAGGCCACCAAAGTTCCCTAGTTCTTAATTATTATTAAGAATATCTAGAATTAACTGTTGTTGAGTACTGTCGAGTCGTTTGCTACTCATAGCGACCCCATGTACAACAGCCCTAAACCCTGCACCCTGCTCTGTCCTGTGCTAATTGCCCTGCCTCTGACATACCCATCCCAATTACCCCAGTCACTGAATCAATCCACCTTATAGAAGGTCTTCCTCTCCTGCACTGTCCCTCCATCCTCCCAAGCATGATGTCCCTCTCCAAGGACCTGTCCCTTCTTACAACATGTCCAAAGTATGTCAGACGAAGCCCCAGAATCCTTGCCTCCAAGGAGTAGCCTGGTTTAACCCTCTCCAGCATGAATCTGTTTGTTTTTCTGGCAGCCCATGGTACATTCAATACTCTTCTCCAGCACCACAGCTCAAAGGCATCAATTCTCCTTCTATCCTCCCTAGTCATTCTCCAACTCTCTGATGCATAACAAGTGATTGCAAAGACCATGGCCTGTATTAGGCACACCTTAGTCTCCAGAGACACACTGTTGCTCTTGATTACTTTAGAGAGGTCCCTAACAGCAGACTTTCCCATCGAAATATATTTTTTTATTTCCTGACTGCTGGTGCCAAGAGTGTTGACCATGGAGCTGAGCAAACTGAAGCTGTGAACAATCTCAATCTCTTCGCCATCCATCCTGATGCTGCCAATTGGTCCAGTGGTGAGAATCTTTGTCTTCTTGACATTGAGCCTCAGTCCATACTGAAGGTTGCAGTCCTTGACCCTCTGCAGTAAGTGCATGAGGTCCTCCTCAGTTTCAGCAAGCAGGGTTGTGTCATCTGTATAATGCATATCGTTGCTAAATCTTCCACCAATCCTGATGCCACACTTCTCCTCATAGAGCCCAGCCTCTCGGATAATCTGCTCTGCATACAGGTTGAAAAGGTATGGAGACAGGACACATCCCTTGGGTACAGCCTTCCCAATTTTGAACCATGCAGTGTTACCCTGCTCTGTTCTGACTACTGCCTCTTGGTCCAAGTATGGGTTTCGCATTAGCACGATCAAATGTTCTGGGATTCCCATTCGTCTCAGAGTCAGCCAGAGTTTGTTATGATCCACGCAGTCAAACGCCTTTGCATAATCAATGAAACACAGATAGACATTCTTCTGGTATTCCCTGCTTTCAGCTAAGATCCATCTAACATCAGCTACAATATCCCTAGTACCATGACCCCTTCTAAACCCAGCCTGGACTTCTGGCAGTTCTCTGCTGATGTGCTGTTCCAGTCGTTTTTGGATAATCTTCAGTAGAGTCTTGCTTGCATGTGAAATCAATGATATTGTTCTGTAGTTTCCACACTGTTGGGTCACCTTTCTTTGGCATGGGAACAAATATAGATCTCTTCCAGTCAGTTGGCCAAGTGGTTGTTCTCCAGATTTAATCTTTCTGGAGACCAGGTAAACACATCTCAGGGAATGGACCTTAGTCTCAATAGTAAAAAAAATTCTTTAGTGATTTTTTTGGGAGAATGTTGCAGTTGCCCCCGGCCCTGATCATTCCTTGAGGAAATCTGATAATGTGTATCTCCTGATAAGAGGAATAGAAGTCCAGATCCTGATGAGGCTCTGGACCTGATCATACATTAGCAGGACTCCTGCCCCTAAATTCTGGAGCAAACTACCGCCCTCTCTAAGTCTTGGTGTCCCTCTCAGGTTTACTAGTAAAGGCCAGTTTGCTGCTTGGGACCAGCTTTTTTCTCTCAACTCTTTTTTTCTAATAATTTTCATAATGACCTGGGCTACACTGGCCTACTGGATGCCTTGTGTCTATTGCTTGTCTGGAATTCTCCAGTTGAGTGTTGTAGCAGGAAAACCCAGTAACCACTCCAGTTACTAAAAATCAAGAAAGATCATTTATTCTGGCAAACTGTAGGAAAAGGAAAAGGTAGAGAAAAGAGTGGGAGAATTAGACAGCTAGCAGGCAGCTAAAGCTGAAACTCTTTAAGGTTACGTTTATAGAAAGTATTTATACAAGTTATCAAAGGTTCACTTACATCAAGGTGATAAAGAAAAGAGTGTTTGAATCCACCAGATGTTCTGCTAGAGAAGGTGGGGCAATCTCCTCTTGTACCAGTTAGATCCGATTTGATGGTACACACACACACACACACACACACACCCAAAAAGAAAAGGCTTTGAAACATTTGGGGGAATCTAAGATAAGAGGGTTTAAATAATGTATACTACATTGAAACAGATGAGGAAGAGAACTGTTTGAAAGGAATATATGATTAGGTATTATTTCATGACAAGAGTCCAGAATTAGATCTTTATTAGGGAGTAGACTTGAGGAAGGCAGGGGATTCTATAATGAAAGTTTGGGTTTTTTTGTGGGTTTGTTGTGTGTGTTTTTTTTAACTTTTCAACTGGGGAGGGGGTGGGTAGGGAGGAAAATGTGCAATAATGAGTGAATGTAAACCCAAAGTATCTATAAACTTTCATTAAAATTTCAATTTAAAAAAATAATCAAGAAACTTTGCCCACTAGCAAATGCAAAGATTTGCTACTGTATTAAAATTAGAAATTGTATTAAAAGATAACTTAAAATGGAAAAAAAAGAAAAGGGTTACTCAGACATATGGTTTCTTATATAAGAGACCTTTGGATATGGGTTACAACCTCAAGTCTTCATCTTATCAGAGAACAGAATATTCAGGTTATTTGCATAAAACAGAATCAGATAAAGCCAAT